TCTCTCTCTCTCTCTCTCTCTCTCTCTCTCTCTCTCTCTCTATCTCTCTCTCGCTCTCATTCTTTGTCCCTCTGTCCCGTAGAGACGGTCCAGGCGTCCACCACTCTGGGCTGCACTCTCCCCTCTCTCTCTCCTGCCGCTCCCTCCTCCCCCTCTCCCCCTCCCCCACCCTCACCTGAGTCGACCTCGCAGTGTAGGCCCGTGTAGCGGGTCGGACAGTTGCAGTAATACCCTCCATCCAGCATGTGACACGCGCCTCCATTCCTGCATGGCTGCGTCAGACAGTGGTCAACCTCCTCCACTTCTACAAGCACAAACACACGCATGAGCAATGGTTGCAGTCACACTCAGCCATACACGAGCGAATAGATGCGCCGTCACGCACGTACTGTCTTTTTTTGGTTAGTGGTCACCTGTGTAGAATGGTCACCTGTATAGAACGGTCACTCGTGTATAAAGGACAGGTTAGACATCATTCTGTCTATAACTGATACCGTTTTCTTCGAGTGACGAGTATACAGTAAAAGCGCCGCTATAGAATTGGCACCTCTCTATTAAGGACACTTCCATTAATTTCCCTTGAGTGACCTTTATATAAAAGGTTTGACTGTATATATTGATGAGGGCAAAGTTGTTTGACTAAAATGTCTTACTAAGTAACCACAGAGCAGTTTGATTCTATCGACGCTTAAAGAAATCCCATGTGAATCATTTCACCAATCATGAAATCCGTGAAAATTAAACATAATCATATTATGCGTGTACACGTCTATAAAGTCAACTCACTAAATTCCGAACGCCTTCAACACAGAATCCCACGTTAAACCAAACGATTTTTTTATGTCCCAACACGACCTGAGACATGTAAGATGCCCCCCCCCCTCATGTAAGATGCCCCCCCTCATATAAACCAAACTTCACAGAAAACTGGACTAAATGGACAGACCCGAGGGTGGTCCGGCATTGGGCGAGTTGGCTGTATATATAAAATATAAACAGGACAGCACGTATAACAATAACATCCACGGGTCTTTAGGCTACATATAATAGCATGTACGATCATGGGTAGACTAGGACATGCCAATCAACAGACATTCCTATAATCCTTAAACACATAACTACGGAAAAAAGAGCAACAGCCACCAGCAGGTTGACTAAGAATCAGACCAACATGTAGAGGGCGCTCTTCCGTATCTCACAACTGTTATGAATGACTCACAACATAAAGACGGGTTGTCCCGTAAATTTAGCCGTTCCCATTCTCAATCTTCACTCGTTCGCCATCTTAGCTTCATTCTTCACCCGGTTCGAATGCACTTGCTCAGAAACCGTTACGTAGAAAAGCTGCGTGACCCCTCTCCCACCACCACCACCATCAGCAGCAGCATCAGCAACAACAGCAGCAGCAGCAGCAGCAGCAGCAGCAGCACCAACATCAGCAGAGAACAACTGAATAGTCCCGCTACCAAACATAACCGCTCGCTAAACACAAACGTAAACACGAATCGCAAATAAACCACACACAGCGGATCACAGAGCTCTGCTTTCATCAGGGGGATGAAAAATTACAGATATGTCCTTATTCACCCCCGGCTTACATGTACGGCCAAACCCGGGGACCAAACATAAATAACATAAATAATAATAATATCCACGAGACGCCACTATAATGGGCGACTGTGAGTCGGTACGTAGCCATAGCAACCCTATATCGGGATCCTTTGCCATCAAAGCACGCACTTGTGACGTTTGACCCAATGAACTAACGGAGCTAGTGTGCAAACCGCAGCAAGACCTGTTAGTGCCGTAGCTGTATGTGCAGGATAAGTATAAGTATAAGTCCTTTCATCTAAGTCTTTACACAGGCTGCTCAACTCTTTGACCTACAAACCCAACCGTTATGTGTGACGACAGTTCCTGGCTAGGTTTGTTGGGTTATACTAAATATATATGACACGCCCACCTAGCTCTGTCTCTGTAACTCCGTCACTGAATCTCTCCCTCTCTCTCTCTCTCTTTCTTTCTATCTCTCTCTCTCTCTCTCTCTCTCTCTCTCTCTCTCTCGCGCGCGCGCGCTCTCCCTCTCTCTCT